ACAATATGTGGAATACTGATAATGATACAACATACTGTCTTTCTGATAATGAATCTAAAGCCTTAATGGAAAGAATTCAATTTTTTATCACACCAAATGGTGGTGAAGACACATTCAACATTAAATTGTCACCAGCCTCTCCTAAATATAATCACACAAGAATGAATCCTGATTCAGCAAGAAATGTAACTTGGAGACAGAATTTATGTTTTACACTTCCATTTGGTCCAATTTCAGATTTATTCTTCTCTCAGTTAACTCAATCCAAACCATCATCTGTTAAACTTACATCTAAGTATTACTATATGGAAGGCAAATCCTCTAAAGGTTTGAAACTTGACACAAAAGTGTACGTATGGGATGAAGATAATATGCCAAGTTTAAAATCTGAACATTGGTTTTTGAAAAAGTGGAATGGGAAGAATGATACGTTTCGAGCTAGATGTATTCAGTTTACTTTAACTTACAGGCCTCAACTCGACATTATTCGTGTCGAATTTAAATATACAACTCAAAAGTGGAACAATATTCTACAAGCTTGGCAAGATATGTAAGATGTAAGTAATAAATCTTCATACCAAAACTCAAATATCCTTAATTGAAATTTCAAGTTGTCGAATCAAGGATCCAATTAAGATGTTGGCAGCCCGCCAAAAGTTAAACCCGCCAAAATTTGGGCATTTTGAAATTAAAAAAAATAGAGGATGGTACCACCAAGAAGCCGTCCATCAGAATCAATATTAACAAGGCGAACAAGACGTTCCACTTGTGAGGCTTTGGAGGCAAGTTATGTTAGACCAAACAATAATGCTTACTTTACGGACCAGTATGAGAAAGTTCCGTATGTAGTTAGGTCTGAAGTAGACACACAAATGTTGAATTGTTGGTTTACTGTTTTCTTTCCTTACTTGCTTTCTCTGTTTTGTAGTATATACACATTTAACCAATTGTTATTAATGTGGTTGACTAATACAAGACTTGGAAGGTCATTATTGAATCAAGCAATTAATTCAGTAGAAGACAAACATCTCAAAAAGCATTCACAATTAGGTTATACAATCAGCAAACGAGCCAAAACAAGGATATCGGTTGTTACAATGGGTTTGGTACCTGTCATTATCTCTCTGGTTTGGGATCCGCACATGCTCAGATCTTATAGCTTATCAATGTGATGTATAATAGTCTGATCTACTTGTG